ATATATATATATATATAAATTTAATTAATAATCCTTAAAAAGCTATTTTATGAGTGCCTAAATAAAATTAATTTTTATGAAGATTAGCAGACTAATATGATACAAATATTAAATTTTTTCCTATATTTAAAACTTCCCTTGGTTAATTTGAATCATGTAGCATTTGATATTGTAAAATTAAAGCTTTTAATCAGATAAAGCCAGTAATGTTTGTAAAATAAATATAGAAAAAAGAAATATTACCTGGCCATACATTAGAAATGTACCATCCCAGCATAAAATAGATTAAACTTCCAACAAGCATCATAACTATGGCTAAACCAAATGACATCTCATCTCTGGGATCAGGACTGGTCCAAAAATTTTGCCACTGTAATCCTACACCTTGATCTTCATATCGTGTGATATATACGCAACCATAACAGAATGATGTTGAGACCATCAAGCACTATTAGTGGAAAATAATAATAGAAAATTATTAGAAATAAAACTTTTTATTATAAATATTTTATTAATAATTTTATTTCTGATTACGTACAGAAAGCAATTTTCCCCATTGTGGAATTTCACCTTCCAATGTAATGATGAGTATAAAAGGTAAAAATGATAGAAGATATATGATAATACCAGTTAAAGCAGCAATAGTAGCAGTACTGAAGAAAACGCTGATAAAGTAACTGTTAAACAGATAAATACAATTTTATGTCAGTTTAATTTATAATTTAACAAAATAATTTAAGTGAAAAAATAAATGTACCAAAACATAATAACTGTCATAGCAAACATCATTAAAAATAAGAGAAGAATAACCCAATTAGAATGCGGAAGTATTCCTCCAATATTTAAGATGATGACGATACAAACATTAATTGTTGCTAATATTATTAAGCCTGAAATGAACCATGCTATCCATCCTATCCATGGTCTCAATCCCATCACTTGCATAATCTAGATAATCATAAAAATTCATAAAATAAAATTATATTTCTAAATAAAAAAAATTTTTTAGTAATCAGACTATTAAACAATCAAAAAATCAAAAACAACAAATTTAATAATTTAAAAAATAATTTTCTTACTTACAAATCATCATAGGCCGCATAATTAAACAATTACAAGTATTTCATTACTTATTTAAGCAAGTAGAAAATTATTATTAAAAAATTCAGTATTTCAGATAATTCAAAATAGTTATGAAAAGTAAATAAAATGTATCTTTTGAAATCACTCTTCTCTATTATGCTGATATTCTTTCTCACTTCTAATCAAACTAAATATTGATATATTATCATTGATATACTCTTATCTTAATTTAACTCTTACTCTTAATTTATCTTCATTGTAAAAAGGAAGCTTTGAGATAAATCTCTTAATTGTTTCTTTCAAACTTGAAATGTTATATGTTTGAAAGATATAAAGTTACAAAATTTTCATAGTTAGACATTCTTAAGTTACTTCTGACAATGGTATTGGTAAATACTAATGTATTTATGAATAATTTCTCTATTTCTCAATATTAAATGCAAAATTATATTTAGTTACATTATTGTTATCAAGCATATAAAAATTTTTTTTTGGTTCAAAACTAATTTTTTATAATTAATTTAATAATTTAATGTAAATTTTAAAAATATTCTACTTATCATTATTCCTCATTTTTCTATTGATGTCTTTGCATTCTTAATAACTACATAGTTATTATTATTATTTAACAATCAAAACGTTTGAGTCTTTTTGCTTTATTTAGTTTAGCCTCACAGAATAAAGTCTAAAAATTTGTCTTTAAATTTAAAAGCTGTGAAATTATTGACTGAATACAATTCAAACAGTAAAAGAATAATTGAGTTCATTATATTTCTTAAATAATGTGATTTTTAAGTATACAAAACTAACAAAGTAGTAACAGACTTTATTCGGGATATAAAAACATCTTCCATCTTCAACAATAATATACTATAACAGATATAAATATTCTGCAATAATAATAATCTTTATTTAATAATAATTTTTATTTGGCATAAAAGGCTTTCGCCTGTTACAAGGGCGTTTGATTTTTAAAAACGCGTATTAACATCTTACATAATCACATCTTAACAACACTGATATATTCTATTTACAGATCTATAGAATTACATTAGTATTTTGCAATAAAACTATTATTAACTACTAATTATTTTTACCAAACTAATTTTTAAATAGTTTAAGAACATTTTTGTAATACTTAAAATTTTGAGTACAGATAAATATTTATTTTTTTATTTTTTTGTGGTTTTAGGCTCTTTACCACTCAAAGAGCACAAAAAGGCCATTAAGGTAAATATTTTAAAATGATAGTATGTGAATCATTCATGTTTTATGTTTGAAGTAAACTTTTTCTGATTTCTATTATACATATAATTTGTTATTAATTAGCTGACTGATGCATTATTTATAGTTTGTTTAATAATATATCTAATAATTATTAATAATGTTATTACATATTGACTAATTTAGAATTCTAACCAAAATACTAAACAGAATTTATTTTGTTCATTTAAACATTACTATGAATCAAAATAATTTTTAAAAAAATGCTGAAATGAGTGTAAAAGCAATTTAGAACTGTTCAGTCTACTCTAAATTATGTTTAAAGTTTGTAATTATATGAAAAAATTTAAAATGTAATCAAATTATTTCTAAAAATATAAAATTTTTGAAATACCTCTTCAAGATGTAGTTCTCTTTCCAAAACTCTTTCTCGAACTAAAAAGGCTATGAGAAAAATCCAAGCCACAGTCATAATTACTGGAAGAGTTGCTTTTAAGAAATGTCCAAATCTAGGAATAAATAAAAAAGATTTTTAAGATATTATATTTTTATAATAGTTGTTAACATTTTTTTAAATTTATTCATTAGCAGTTGATATACAGTAGAGAATTTTGATTTTAAGTTCAAAATTAACTTTTAATTTTTTATAAAAGAAACATTACAGTATGATACTTAATTTAAGAAATATTCTTAAGAAATTCCATAAGTAACGTTAACTACATACATACATAATTCAAATTGAATAAATAATTCATTACGTATATTTTATTCAAATTATTCACTTTATATTGAATCAAACAAAAACAAATGTGATTTAAATCTTTTTAAATAATATAAATCACATTTGCTAGTATTTGAAAAACTAATTTTATATTGTTCTATTTTATTCACACATCATTAAACATGAGTATCTGGGTTTTTATCCTAAATGCCATGTATTGTTTTATATGATAAATAATTTTAAATCTTAAATTTTATTAAACCTATTACATTATTTTACTATCAGGTACTATTATCTATACTCTCAAAAAATTGTTCTATTCAAATCTTCCTACATCTAATTCACATTCATGCAATTGCATGAATCTATAATACAGGTAACCCCCGTATAACACGGTAGTTACGTTCCAAAAAATTGCTGTGTTATGCGAAACAAAGAACTAGTACGAAAAGGAGGATTAGGTTCCAAAAATTAAAAAACATGCTACTATATTTTCATAATTAAGGTAAATATCTTTATTAAAATTTTCTTAAGTGATACATATTATTATAAATTTAACAATGTTTTCTTTGTCATCACTAAAAGCACTATTAACCNGAAATTTTCAGGATACAACATGAAATTTGAACATAATTTTGCTCCACAGTACAAACAAAAACTCACCATACGACGTTACATTAGTTCGCAGTGCCATTTTTTATTCACTTCTGTTCATTGGTCTCAGTCTGTGTGTTTGCTTCGTCGTGGAAGGATCTCGCTCGATAAAGGAAATCTTGAGGTATTATCAGAAAGTGACTGATTTTATTGAAAAGAAACATCCCGAAAAAGTTTACACTGGCCGTATTGCTGCTCGGAGTAATGACATTTGCCTATGTCGCTTTAGAAACATTTTAAAAAGTAGGCAAAGCCAAACCTTTTTGGATAGATATTTTACCAAGCAATCTGTATCCAGTGAAAGTGCTGGTGGAAGTGAAGGAAAGAGCAAAAAGCAGTGAATAAAAGATTTTAAAATATATATAAAACAGAAAAGTTAAAAAATTAGTGTTAAATTATTTTTAAGTTATTGTTACACTATGTTATGTATGTTAAATTTTAGTATCATTTCCCTTCTCCCTCTCCTCCGCCACCAGTTTATACCTCCATCGACGTCTATCCTCAAAGGTAAAGTGCAAATATAACTACATTTTTTTTATCAATTATTATTCTATTATAGTTATTTATAAATTTACAACTACAAAATGCACTTTTCAGTGTTTTCCTTACTAAAGTTATTTTTTTTCAATATACTACTTAGCTTTAATTTGAGTGTGCTTTTTGTGTTGGAACGAATTATATGGTTTTACATGTAATCATATGGGGGAAAAATGATTCACCTTACGACATTTTCATGATACGATCTCAGTTTTGGAATGAATTAATTTCGTATCCTGAGGTACCACTTTACTTAAATTTTATTTTTTAAAAAAAAACCATATTCCTACTACAATGGATTTTTTTAGCATCCATTACAATATCTCAATTGAATAATAGCAAGTGTTATGAATTTCTTCAGAGTGAATTTTTGAAAAATACAAAAGTCTTGCTATAGAAATGGAAGAGAGTAACTATGCTGTTTGTTTGTTATATCTATTTGTACAGTTTGTACTAAAATTTTTGGAAAAATCACTAATCATACAAGCTTATTTTTAACAATATATCATTTGTTTATTTTCATCATTTTTCTGTTTTTATATAGTAATATTTTAATATATGTATGGTATCATTAAAACATTTTCATTGCTGTCTCCTGCACATTAAAGAAAATCTATTAGGAATTGTACATAAATTTATTCATTACTAAAAAACACTTGTTGATATCATTAAAGTAATTGGACTTTTTAATATTTAATATCATACTAAAAACATGAATTGCTAGGTAGACTAAGTAGATGTGTTTATAATATTCATATTTACCATATCTACATTTCATTATTAGATCCCATATATTACGTCTTGCTACTGGATCAACACTGCTTGTTGGTTCATCTAAAATGATTAACTTAGATCCACCAATGAATGCCAAAGCCACACATAAACGTCGCCGCATTCCACCAGACAGGTAGCGTGACTGTTCATTTTGCTGATTCCATAAACCCATACTTTGCAGCATGCTAAATAACAGATATATTGTATTTAGTTTATATAATTAGTACAAAATTAAAAATTAATATTTTTATTTATGATGTGCTTACTCATTGATGTCTTTTTCGAGTTTTTTACCACAAAGAATTCCTTTAAGTTGAGCATAGAATTTAAGATGTTCTCTAATAGTCATTCTAATTATAAAGAATTTTATTTGTTAATAATAAAATTAAAACAAATTGTTTTTACTTATTTCAAAACATCACACCTGTCAAATAAAGTATTGTACTGTGGACAATAACCAAGAAGTTTTTGGATTTCCGAAAATTCTTCTGGTATTGTTCTTCCATATACAAAAACTGCACCGCTGGTAGGAGGATGCTGTCCGGTCAAAACATTGCTGATCAAATAAAAATAAATGCACATTATTAACACATGAGAAATAATAATTCTTTCTGTTTGTTGTTTTGCACATGAAATTAAAAATTAACTGTTTACATTGTTGTTGTTTTTCCAGCTCCATTTTGTCCTAAAAGTGTTGTAATATGTCCTTCAAATAAGTCTAATGATAAACCTGCAACAGCAATTCTTTCCTTTGACTTGTTTTTATTATATATGACATACAAATTGTTTAGAGATATTCCAATTTGGCCAGTTGTTCCAGATAAGTTTTCATCTTTATGTGTTACTTTCAATTGATTATCTATCAAAGTAAAAATATGTGAAATAAATAGTACTTAATAATGTAGATTAGAGAAACTTAAAAACTATATTGATTACCTATAAATATTGCTGGATTCAGTGGTAGAGGATATTCAGGAGAAAATTTCTTACTTTTTTGTTTTTTATATGAATTCCAATATTTTGGCAAAATAAAGAAATACCATGGCTGTTTACGTGCTAAATTTGCTATAAAAATAAATATGAAAAATTAAATTCAGGTAGCAGCAACTAATTAATAAATTTAAAAATTATTATGATGTCCAAATTATTCCAATCATAATATTAAATTTTAAATCATCTTTGTTTCTTAACTATCAATATGATATGTAATAGCTTTTTATTAGTATTACAAATCATTTAGAACAGCAATGTTTTCTTTTTTATGTTTCATAGATGTAAGTAATAAGGTTATGGGAAATCAAATAATAGAATAGTTAAAATTAATTTCAAGTAAAAACAACTATTTTGAATCAACAAACTAATAAGATTGTGTTCTGAATACAGCAGAATCCCAGTTATTCAATGTAATATTTTTAGTTCACATCTCACAAGGAAAAACCATGAACTTTGAATCATGGACTTTAATGAAAATTGTAACCACATTAATCTACATAAAAAAATAAGTAGAGATGTGTCCAAGAATTTGTGCCAATGGGTCTTATTTAATAAAAAATTAAGTGCCAAAATTGGTAAAATTATAAGAATCATGCTTATTATCATACAAAACTATTTATTAACACACACTGTTATCTCTAATATTGCTACATTGTATATGATAGTGATCATTGTAAAAGGAAACGTATGTGTCTTCAGCAATGTGCCCATAGTATATAAACTATTCTTTCACATATACAGATTTGTGTCAAAGAAAAGCCAATTTAGTGAACATTTTTAATGCAATTCATGAGACTGTTAATATTGTGGAAAACCATGCATATTTGATATTTGCAAAAGTGGGCGCTTAACTGGTGATGCATAAGTAAATGAATTTTAATTGCATCTTATTTCTTTCTTTCTCTAACATTTCATTTGCATTCTGTATATTTTTTAATAAAATTCTTGACTCAACAAAAAATAAATGTCATGAGATTGACAAAATGGTGTAAATGTGGCATAATAATTTCTACATGAGCAGAATATTCACCATCATTGTTGGTGAAAATTGGCACTTAATTCTTGTTAAATAAGGTCCACTAGCACAAATGCTTGAACACAATCTACATAAAAAGATAAGCAGACATAATATGTAAAAGTTTTGTAGTTTTGCCTTGTCAGTTAATCAAAAACTTGGCTAACTTAAAAGTAGAATACAGTAATACCTCGACTTACGCGAACCCGGAGTTACACGATTTTCAAATCTCATCGATTCGTCTTTTGTTTGAGCGCCACGCAACTCTTGATTACTCACCCCCCACACTATTGTTCAGCTTACATGTTCGGACGTGTCGCACAGAATCGACACATAGCTACAATTTATTTTGTGTTGTTTATTTCTGTGTTTGTTATATTTACGGAGACTTGAAAGACTCTATGTGGTGAATTCTTGTAACCGTGAATGAATCAAAAGACGAGATAAAATTAGCGAGAACATTTATTAGCTTACATACATCTGACTTGGATTTTGCACAAACTGCGAAATTATACCCCCGACTTACGCAGTTATCACTCAGTCGCACCTATCGCGTAAGTTCAGGGTATTACTGTATATACATGTTGATGCATTTAAATCCATGTTATCCTAATTATTGAACATAATAAATTATACAAAACACTTTAAATTTTATTTACAACTACCTAATTAAAAATAAGATTACAACTAAATTCTTGAAATTTTTAAAATTCGTATTGTCACAAAAATTCACGAGAGTAAATTCTTTTAAAATCTTCTAATACTCTTTTTAAATATTACACATCACCTGGCCAAAATTCATCAAATGAAATGTACTGTATTATATTCTTTTCTCTTTGTTAATAAAGTATTCTTCACAACTTGTCTTGAATAGTGTAGATCCTTGGTTAATCAGGTCTTGGTTAATTGGAACTCAAATAATATGTACTGTACTTTATATATAAATATATTGTTATAGCAAATGGCAGAAACATAAAAAAGGAAAGTATGTTGAATGGCAACAGAAAACTGTGAACTATATGATTATTTCAAGATATTTGCATTGAACTGTTAGAAAGTATTAGATTTTTATAAATTAGGCAAAATTTTGAAATCTATCAAATATTTTATTTATATGTAATGTGAGAGTAGGATCCTAAAACTGTTATGAAAACTCTTAAAGGTCACTAATTATGAACCTCATATAAAACAATAATTATCTTCAAATAAACAGCAACAATTTTTGCATTAAACAAAATATTTATTTCCCATTATAATTACATCATTATTTTCTTTTCACTTAACAAATAATGTGTACAAATTTTATGTATTTTTTTAATTGTTCAAATTAAATATTTTACTCGCAATTTGGATTTACTAAATATTGAAATCAATTTTGACCCAGCTTTGGATAAATGTTTGTCATTGCTGATCCAAAATAATATCCTTAGAGAATAATGCTAAAACTTTTCATAAAATGAATGTACAGTACAATTAACAATAAATATTTTAAAAATAATTTAAAGAACTGGAACTAAAATTGGCTGACTTTTAGAATAAACTTATGATGCAAATCTTAATGCAAATGTTACATATATGCTATTTTATAACATTAATTAAATTTGTAATGACTATGTATGTCATGTTTATATCTCATCAATATTAAACTGAAAATTAATAAATGTAAAAACATAGTAAATAATTTGATCAAGTTGTCGATACTTATTATGATAAATAAAATATTTTATGAATTATATTGGGTGTCTAATAATTTGAAAATAAAAGCAAAATCAATGAAGAATATTTAAATATTATCTCTTGAATACAAAATAAATGTTTTAATGGAAAAAAAGGTTTAGTAATTATATA